TTCTCTTCTTCGTTCTTTTAATTTTTGTTTTTACATTCAAATACTTTGTACATCTTTTGTGTTAGATAATAAATATAGGGTACAATCGGGTTATTATTTTTGGTCAATAACCTTTGAAAAAAATGTTTTGAATAAATTAAAAAAGCAAATATTTTTTTAGATAAATAAAAGAAATATTGAAATAACAGGTACGAGAATAGCTCAAGTGATAAGAATAATACATGACTTAGTGTGAGTAGATGTCAAACCCTATAACACTAATAATAACAGTTAGTCCAATGATAACGACTTAGTTCATAAGTCATAAAATCATGGGATTGAATCTTATTATTGATGTGAGAACTTTATTAATATGTATATATGAGGTTTCTTGGTACTTATAATTATTATATGTTTGTTTGGTATGATATTGAAAATGATAACGCTAAATTATATTTTTATATTTATTTTAGTGATTTTAAAATGAAAAGACTGCAATGCCCCTCTCAAAAATTTTCTATAGAATAGACCATGTCTGGAATGAATTTCTTGAAATCTTTGTCCCTTCCAAATTTCTTCTTCCCCTTCATAATTAATTCCAAAATCAAAAGAAAATCCAATTCAAAAAATAAAAAGAAATTCTAAAAATCAATTCAAAACTGAAAGGTCAGGTCAATGAGTTTTCTGGGAGAGGAATGGCACCCCTTTGATACCTGTTTGTTTCATATTTTTTAATGAAAAAATTATTTTTTTTGCAAAAAAATATTTTTTATAAAATTTTATGATGTTTGTTTAATTTTTTTTAATAGTTTTTGAAAATAATTTAATATGGTAGATAACGGAAAATGTGCCATAAAATAATTAAATAATAGATTATTTTTTATAAGCAGAGATGGTGAAGATATCATAAAGCCTAAAAATATCTAAATCACAATCATTTTTTATTATTATAACAAAACATAAGATAATATTTGTGTTTTTATAAAATCTTTAACCTATTTAAAAAATTATTTATTTTTTAATTGTGAACAAACTGCACCTAAAACTTTTAGTTCATTTATAGATTTATAAAATGTGATTAGTTTATTTATTTAAGATACCTCTCTTATGCGCTTTGAATTTCGTTATAAATCAAAACACACCGTTTTAATCCTAGTCTTTATTTTATATCGCAGACTGTTGCGAATTCCAACCACGTGCGCACGATGAACAAGAGGAAAATTTCATCATCTTCTTCACTAAGTGATCAAAACATGAATGATTTTTGGGAAAAAAGAGAGAGTAAGAGTAGAAGATTATGTGTGAAAACAATAATATTAATGATTTTTGGCAAATGGTTCCAAGTGGATTCCAATTTTGCCCTATAGAACAGAGCTGATCATGACCTATTTGAGGAAGAAGTGATAAATGAGCTGTTAGAACCAAACCCAATAATTGAAGTTGATATCTATGAGTTCAATCCTCAACAACTATACAGTAAGTTTCTTTATATCTTTTTTTTAATGATTCAATATATTTTATTAATATTTTTTAAGAAATGTTTTTTATGTTTTGTTTTTAAAGAAAAATATAATTGTTGGTCCTCATACTTTTAGCATATTTTTGTTTTTTAGTCCTTATATCTTTTTTCTATTGCTCCTAGTCCCTCATGTTTCATTCATTTGCAATGCTAGTTTTCTATATGTTTAAATATGATCATAGTGGCTTAACAATGACTAACTTATATGATGCAATCTTTGTTATTTTTTTGTGATGACTTGTTAAAATTATGATGAATTACATAAAAACTGAACAAAGACTATATCAGAATCCTTAAAGTATAATGGAAGAAGTTTTAGAATAAAGAAGACATGACAATACAGTAGACAAGAACCAAACCTAATCATAATTAGAAATCCATAGTAGGGCCTTTTATGGATTAGATCAATAACATTAAGGATGAAAGTGATCAATAAATTGAAATTCGAGCCACTATTCTTGCTTCACACAATTTTTAATATACATGGATTTCACATCATTATTCTATTTGTCATGTCAGCATACTTTAATGATGTTACATGAAACGAAGGATTACTTAGATAAGTTTAGAAAACATTAAAATCTAAAATAATAGAAAATAAGTAGAGGGACTAAATGAATAACTTCATCAAATGTAAGAGATTAAAAGTTATTATCCCTTGATTCATGGTTAATGAGATAATGATTATTTCTTGCTATGAAGCACAGCAATCACATGAATAAAGTAATAGTGTATTATGTATTAATTAATTATAAATGCAGGACAATATAGGAACTATGAATCACAAAATGAGTGGTACTTTTTCTCACCAAGAGATAGAAAATATAAAAATGGAAAGAGGCCAAAACGATCAACATTAGATGGATACTGGAAGGCAATAGGAAAATGTCAATCAATTCATCAAAAGATGGAACAACTTTAATTGCAAAATGAAAACTTTGGTTTATTATGAAGGCACTCATCAACAAAGTAAGAAGACCAATGGATCATGCGTGAATATTTTTTTGGATGAGATAACACATACAAGAACAAGTTCCTTGGATATGAAGGTTAGTAATATATTGAGTTCTATATATAAGTAATTACAAATATACAAAATAAATACTTATTGAAATTAAGAAGAATTAGTTAAATCATTCACTGTTTTGCAAAAAAAAAAAGTTTTTCATTTTATCCATATTAGATAGATCTTCTTTTGAAAAATTTATTCCTCATATACAACCTCCAATTTTATTTATCTGTTACTTATAATATATTTTATTAGAGAATTAAAAAAACTTTAAACCCTTTCATTGGAATGAGAGGTAATACTAAGGGAAAAGTAGAAGAAAATGACATTTTCTTTTCCTTACAATAAGTTTTTCTCTTCTTCAAAAAGGAAATTAGGGGAAAACAAGGGTGAAAAATGCCATCTTTTTTTTTTTTAGTTTTCTCCTTTAATTTTCTCTCATTTCCTACTTTCTACTTATTTCAAATAAATCCTAAAACTCATTAAATCTCTCTAAAAATTTAATAAGATTTCAATTTTGACACTTACTAAAATATACATCTTCTGTTTAAAAATGTAAAATATTTTTTAAAGAGTTAAACATTTTAAAAATGTAAGGCATTTTTAGTCTTTCGAGGTGTTATTATTGTCTTTTTTTCAAAATGCTCCTATTAATAGTGACTTTATATTTATTATAGAATGT